TGATCAGCTCTGATAATTCTTGACCTTGACACTTTTAATCTTTTAGTATAAGAGGATTCAAGGAAACAAGGGATTGAGTGGTTGATTAGATTGTCAGTCTAAACAACATTTACATGCAAATCAACCAAATTGGTTACTGAGGTCCCAGTAATGGCCAATGATACACAATGTATGGTGTATAGCAGTAGCGTGCTGCAGGTTTATCACCTAGATTCTAGGTGATAAATTTAGGCAGAATGCCACCAAAGGTCTGGGTCCTTGACCTTCGGTGGCATTCTAAACTAATCCACATCCTAATAACAAGGAGTTTTGAAATGATGAGGAAATATATTCAGAAGAAGAAGAAAATAAAGGTAACGATACTAAACTTAAACACACGATAAAATGAAAACAACAACTCAGGAAATACTGCGTAGATTCAACAACATAGGGTTGATGTTGATGTAGATGATGGTATGGAGTTAGTTGCCAAGATGTGTTTGGTTAGATTATTATTTTAGTGTTAAGAGAAATTGATAATTGAACATAAGGAGGTCTATTGTGTAAATATTTAAATTAAGCAATGTGAATGTGAGAGTTGAAAGTGGAGATGAAGGCAGGTGCCAGTACAGGTCTGGAGTAGGAGAGGTATATCAGGAGAGATTGAGGGGGGGGGGCATGGACATGGACACAGGCTTTTGAGATTCCATTCACGACTATCTGAGTCGCAGTCTCTGAAGAACTGAATGAAAATGACTCCCTTTCTCTCTTTTTCACTCTCTCTCTCTCACACACACACATCTATAAGCAGAGTGTATGCACATCTACATTATTTGCAAACATTAGCAGAGGACACAATCAGCAGACACACAGTGGCTAAGAGCGTCCGTGCCTTATCTCATTAACTATTACTGAGGCCTTCACTCTGATGGGATCAGTGTAGTGTGAATTCACTGCCTACTGAATCTGATTGGGTTTCAAAGTTGTGAACTTTGATGAAATTGAACAACGTTTAAAGAGTTTGTTGCTTCTTCAGCAGTTTCTGCAACATTTTCGATGACTTGACTTGAAAAACTTTAGAGCCCATCTGCCCAAGTTTATAACTGGTTTAAATAGGATTATTTGCACTTTGATATAAATACATTTATATCATACACACTGTTTAATACAGTGTGTGATTACATAGATTCCTCTCTACAACAGTCATCTGCAAAGCTTTACACTTTCTGGAGTTTTTGGTTTTCCTATAGTAAGCAGGATTTTCTGCTACAAAGGATTTTTTCTCAGACTCCCATAGTCCAAAGACCTGCATCATTTGACTGGTTTACTTGTGAATAGCTCTTTGTGTAGGTGACCCTGGGTGACCCAGTGGTGAACTGATGAACTGGTGAAGCAGCAGAACATGATAAAGAATTAGTTGATGCTTTGCCTCTGTTATTCTGGTTGTTTTGTATGTAAAATGTGGTGGTGCAGTCTTTAAATGGAAAATGCAGAATTTAAAATGAATAAAACCAAACTATTCTTTGCGTTGGTTTAAGCTGCGTCTAACTATAATTGTCTCGGTTTTAACCACCTCAGGTTTGTCTGGATGAAGGTCAGTGGACTGGGTGCACAGTCAGTGATGTTGTGCTGTGATGTACTGTAGTCCCTGTTGTGTTTGTCCGTTCTACTGTACCGTCTATAATTTATAATTTATGCAGCCAATGGGTTGGCCAGAAGATTCAGTTGTTGCTCTGAGGACAAACTCGGCTCTTTCACTGACTTTTTTTTTACCAACACATTTACAACATAACATAAACAGTTAAATGGTTAAAGGTACAGTTTTTCTTAAGCTGCATTGAGGTGGAATGAGCTAGGTTTGATGGTTTATTTGTCCTCATGCTGTATTGCATGATGTGTTTTTATTTAAAATAATGTTGTTTATTTCATTACAGATAATCCCAAAGAGTTTAGCATGAATTATGTTATTTAATAAAATCTTACAACACACAGCTATTTTTAGGCGTTATTAGATAGGTTTGTGATAAACAATCTAAATTCTACTTTTGATGTAAATGCGAAAGATGTGATGGCAGATCATGAAGAATTAAAATAAAAATATATAATAATAATTATTATATATTTTTTAAATTTAAATTTGAATTTACCTTGGACTTAAAGCCTACTGTACCAGACATTTGAGGGTTAAATATCCAAGCGTTCCTGATATTTCTTTGTGCTAACAGTTTAAAATGAATGTGATTCGGACTGCAGAGCATGCTTTTTTTTTTGTCACAACACTGAAGAAATTTAATTGTCATGCACTTAATAAATGACTTGAAGCATGAAGCATACTAACTGTATAGGTTCAAGCCACTTAGACCTCTGATTATTTTTACAGATTATTTTAACAGTATATTTACAGTATTCCCTAATATATAGATCCATATATATACAACACTGCTTTGGTTCATATAATTTAACTGCACTGTACTGGTTTATCCATGTTTACATTTACAAAGCTCCAGAGAGTGGCTATCGCAGTTTTCAGTATCAGCAACTATGTAGACTGAATAGTACATTAAAGTGTTGTAATGATAACAAACATAACCATGGTTTCCTATCTTTGTAATAATCACAGGAAAATTCAATAAACGTGGTTAAAATGACTTCATCAGGCCAAGTCTTGGAAACCATGAATGTAGCACATTTTTCTGTCTTATATTGACTACTCTTATTACTATTACCACTGTTATTGTGATAAATGTTGTTTTTGTAGGAGATTTACTCAGATTAAGCACATTGGGTTAAATCAATTATTATACTTTATTTCCCATTTTTACAAGATTTGCCTTGGGGTTTATGCACAGCCTACGGTCAGGAGTTTTCCTAATTAGATTAAAACTAAGATAGAAAAGATAACATTTAATTAAATTTTAAAACAGTTCATTTGAAGCTGTATAACTCCAGTGCTATTTTTGCAAATACATCACGAATATATCAATAAATGATAAAATTGTTTTGTACTAAATGAAAAAAAAGTGCTACCTAGCTAGTCTAAACCAGTCATGCTAACTTCTTTGCCTTGCTTTTTCATTTAGGGTTTTTAGCAGCATTGCTGCTCTACAGCCTTTGTCCTTGTGTGTTACTGCCACCTTCTCAGTCTATGCCCACGGGTAAAAAAAATTCACAAGAATTGGAATAATTAGACTTTGTAAATCATTAAAAAATGAAACAGGGGGTGACTTCAAATGACTTTACTTTGGGAAATGTATTGTATTCTGTTATAATCACTTTAAATTGTATAGACACAGTTAGTTAGTTAGTTAGTTAGTTAGTTAGTTAGTTATTTAGTTAGTTGGATGCCACGCTCATATTTTCTCTCATCATTCATACTCACACTGTGTGGTGCATAGCTGTGCACACCCAAAGGCATATACATTCTTGATATCTGTCCTACTTTTTCTCTTTCTCCCATCACACTACACTCTTGCCCTGGCATAATATCTCTCTCTCTCTCTCTCTCTCTCTCTCTCTCTCTCTTGCTCTCTCTCTCTCTCTCTTTCTGCCCATAAAGGCTAACTCAGCTGACCCGCGGGCTGCCATGGAGTAAAGGTATTCTGGATAGTCCAGGTTTTGAAAAGGAAAGGGAGAGAATGTGAGGAGGAGGAGATGTTGTTCAAGATGCTGTACACTCAGGCAAACACACAAAGCACTGCACACAAACATGCACAAACTACTATCCCGTCTCTTACCGTGGAATCCTGGAGCTACAGTTTCCATCTGTGTCCATCTGCATATTCATATGCTGAGAAAAACACAGACTGTTTACAACAAGGAGCTGTTTCCAAGATATGTATGTGGCTGAGACATATGAAGGAGAAGGAGTGAGGGTGGATGAGAAGGCAGTGGAGGAGCGGAGGAGGAGACAAAAATGTCGTCACCCTGCTTTATCTCAGCTCTGATTAAACCTTGACCTATAAAGTCAGCTGGTGGAAACTTCACAGGCAGAGTTGTACGTGTTGTGTGAGTGGGAGAGAGTGGGTACAGACTGACACAGATCTTCACAGTCACAGACAGGCTTGTACATCATATTCGTATTGCTATGCATACGGATCCACACGGGTTGTCGTTTTTCTAACGAGGACAAGGAAGCAAAGGATACTTGCAGGTTACTCAGTGTTAGTCGGGAAAGCAGAATGGCACAGGAAACAGACAGAGGCAGAGCTGCTGACATGTGCCAGTGCCGCCCGTCTGGGACAAGCACGACAAGAAACACGAGGTATAAAAATAAACCTGAGCCAACATGGCATCGGGGCATCTGCAGACACAGGAAGTATAAAGTTGAGAGAGGAAGAGGCTGGAGAACAACCTTGGATTGTTTTTTGTCTGTTTTCTCTGACGCTGGTGTTTCATGGTTCAGTAGAGCGTATTTGTTGGTGTTGTTGAATACTAGAGTACAGTCCAACACATGACCCTTGTGTTGGAGTTTAAGTAGTAGTGTCAACAAGTAAAACTGGACCAAATCATTCAACATCGGCTTAGTTATTCTACTGTAGGTCAATACAGAGTGACTGTTACAATGCAAACCTGTAAGGGGAGACTAAGGCCATATTACTTCTTTAATCTTGTCTTCTGAAGTCCACATTAGTGGAACCAACTAAGTCTCAAGTCTCAGTCAACTTTCACAGCCAGGACTAGAAGTGACAATACCACAAGTTAATAATGACAACAAAATGATTAGTTAAGAGTATTATACTGGACTATAAAGCTAATGAAACCAATGATTTCAAGAAGCATGAAGTCGTTATACAAGCCTAGTCATAAACACTGAGTTGATCAGTCCTGTATCTTTATCATCTGTTTTATCCTCTGTCTGTCACTAAATGGCCCTGTACATCATGATACACTTCAGTCCGAGTCAGTATAAAAATATATTTCTAAACAAAAAACAGGGATCACACAGGTGTGAGGAACAGCATACAAGAACATGTACTTCAGAAATCACTGTTATTTTTGGTGTGTGTCTATGTGTTTCTCAGAGTGCTGCAGCAGCTCCCAGCCCTGTTCTTGGGAACCTTCCCCCAGGAGATGGCATGCCAGTAGGACCAGTCCCACCTGGATTCTTCCAGGTAGACAGAGTTCACAAACACATGCTTGCACAAACACACAGAGAGAGAGAGAGAGAGAATCTTGTGTTCATGTGCTGTGAGTACTTGAAATAGTCATATTGCATCCACTAACCCAGGCATAGGCAAACTATGGCCCGGGGGCTGTATGCAGTCCATTTGGCTTTTTAATCCGCCCCGCCAAGTTGTGTCCCCATTAAATGGGGTAAAAATGGGTAAAAGCAATTTAACATTTAGCCTTTACTGTGGTGCTCTGAGCATGGCACCGTCCCCACTCACTGCTCCCTGGGTCCTTAAAGCTGCCCACTGTTCACTTTGGTGATGGGTTAAAAGCAGAGGTCACATTTGGTTGTGTGCAGTGGTGAGCTGTGTCACAATGACAAGGAGTTCACTTTCACTTTATGTCTGACTTTTGCATGTCATATATCTTAGTTCACATGAATCTTCCCCTCACCTGGCCCCCCGTGCCCTGCAAGTCAAAAAGTTCTCCACGCCTGCACTAACCTCTTATCCTAACCTTAACTATAATAATCTTAATATTTACCCTAATCCCAACCCTGCCCTAATTCTAATTCTAACTACAAACTAAATCTTAACATCCTTTCATAGCTGGGACCTGAAAGAAATGTCCCCACAAGGACAAATAGTCCAAACTACAAAACATTCTACCAAAATGTCCTCACAAGGATCGTTTCACCAACACCACACACAAAGACAGACACATATCAGACTTCTCCTTAAAACACTGATTTTCCTAAGGCAACAGTTTATGTCAGTGTTCTCCTGTACATTAATCAACACAGAAATAACAGGGGGCAATAAATCAATTCCTTGCTCTTGATCAAAATCCCCTGCCAGCTGTGTTTTGATTGAATGTCATTATTAGTGAGCCTCAGACGCTCTCATCTGACATGCAGATCAATAGCTTTCATAAGCCTCCGTCAGGTCCACATTCAGAAAAAAGTGTTGTGCTTCTAAGAAGCATTTTATCACCACATCTGCATATGCAGGTGTAGAGAAATACAAAATAATGGTGTAGTAATAATGGAGACTGGAGGAGTGGTAGTACCACTCTCAAAAAAAAAAAATAGAGATAAAATAAAAACTTCTCTTTATCGTTCCTTAGTACAGCTTTGGAGAAGTCTGATTGAAATAAGCAGACCATTGCTCCCTAGTGGCTTGTTGAGGTATTGCTCCCCCGACACTGCAGACATAACCCCACTCAACACAGCAGTGTCAGTTCAGTTGACACAACAGCATCGCTGTGTCAGGCGGAGAGTAACAAAACAAACTCACAGAACAACAGAGGTTCTCACATCAACTGGCTTAGGTTCATGGTGACTCAAACTGGCATCCCGATACTCAGCCAAAGACATGCTTGAGATGGGATAAACCAAAAACATTTGTAAAAAAAAACGTGTATGTAAAACGCAATTGAATTTACATTTTCTTCCCATCTCCCCCAGCCGTTTATGTCACCTCGATACCCTGGAGGACCCAGACCACCTCTCAGGTTACCTAATCAGGTAACGTGTCTATGAAGATTCTCAGTCATCCAGGCCATGGTCAAGTTTGAAAAGTTCTGTTAGGCAACTGGACGTGAATTTTCTAAAAGAAGATGTTTCATGTCTAATCCAAGAGGCTTCTTCATTTCTAACTGGTGGTGGGGAGTACAGCAAATATATACTCTCGGTGAGAAAGAATATAGCTACTACAGCTCCACCCTGTTAGGTGGGGCCTAGGGGTCAACTGTGAAAGTGTAAATAGTCGTTAATAGTCCTCCTCACTGCACTGAATGGTATTATTCAGTGCAGTGAGGAGTACACGGACCTGTACATTGGGGAGACTAAACAACCACTACACAGGTGCATGGCCCAACACAGGAGGGCCAACTCCTCAGGACGGAACTCAGCTGTTCACATACACCTCAAGGACAAAACACACTCCTTTGAGGACAACAATGTACACATTTTGGCCAGAGAAGACAGATGGTTTGAGAGAGGGGTAAAAGAAGCCATTTTTGTCCACCTTTAAAAACCACCACTCAACAGAGGAGGTGGACTCAGACACAACCTATCACCAACATACAAAGCACTTTTAGGAACAATACCCAAAAATTTCTCCTCAGTTTCACACAACAAAGAGGCAGGTGACCGAAACCGTTCTGATGGGGACCACAACGACCCATCAGACTCTTCTGTACTCCCCACCACCAGTTAGAACTGAAGAAGCCTCTTGGATTAAAGGTGAAACGTCTTCTTTTAGAAAATTCACGTCCAGTTGCCTAACAGAACTTTTTAAACTAATCAGGTAACAGGCACACTGACATCTCCTGGCAGCAGAAAGAACTGCAAACAGAAAACTTGAGCCAGAGCTATGTGACATTGAAGATGAGAAATAAAACAGCAGACCAATTTTCTGAGCTAATTATTTTTTTCCGCAGGAATTCAAGAATATTTTTCTAGAGTTGATAGTTCTGAAATCAATAATATGAAATAAATCTTGTGTACCCTATAATAATACCAATGTTTTTCTCCACAGGGACTTGGCAGTCAGCCTATGTTACCCACAGGAATGGATCCATCGAGACAACAAGGTGCAGTTTACCTTTGGTTTTGACTTGAAGGTATTTTCTGCAGTGCACATGATTTTAAATAGCAAAAACGCTTTGCCCAGTAACAAGGTTGTGTTTTGATTCTAAATATATTCTGATGCTGCCTTACAAGTTTAAGCAAACTGAAATAAAATATGATCTATTCACTTTATGAATAGATCTAATAGTATAACAGGAAATGTTGCTAAATCTTTTGCTGCGTGGTGGTTGTATAAATTCAGGACATCCAAATATGGGAGGACCGATGCAGCGTATGACTCCACCCAGAGGCATGGTACCACTGGGGCCACAGGTGTGGATCCTTATCTTCTGAAAATGTGTCTGTTTTTCTTTCTGTTATTGGAGTAACAATAGTGTTGTTTTGTTTGGTTAATAGAATTATGGAAGTGGAATGAGACCCCCATTAAATGCCTTGGTTGGTCCTGGGATGCCTGGAATGAATATGTAAGAGTTCAAAAATGTTATTCTGTAATTCACTCAAGATGTTTTTATAGGTACATATAAAACTTTTAAGCTTGGAAACTTGATTGACAAAAAATGAGTCGGGAATGAGTACACCACCTCCTTAAGGAGAAAAAATCATAGTCACAATTCTGAAACTAAAAACCTGTAAATCCAGGTTACAAATGCGATGGTGATGCATTGAGTCTAATTGGACGTACAGACTTCAGTACAATATGATATCAAAGCTGACAAATAATAATGTGTACAAGAAATAAACGTAGAAGAAAGGAAAAAAATACTGACACTCTTCCATGTCATAGATAATAGAATATCTTACACAGTGTCTCATCTGCCTTGGAAGGCTGGGATATGAACCTAGGTCTCCTGCACCATTGTCAGAGGGGTATTCCCCTGGGCTTTACTGTCATGGAGAATGAGCTGCAGGGAACTTTTACTGTTTTATGAAACTACTTCCCACCTCCAAAGCCATGAACCCAGGGAAAACTTCTTCTTTCTTTTTCTTTCGGCTTTGTCCCTTCTTCTTCCTTTTCTAAATCTACAAATACACAATGTAGCTCCTTCTGACCTTCTCTGTACTTCTCCATCAGCATCCTCAAGGCAAATATTGCATCTGTGGTACTCTTCCTAGGCATGAAACCATACTGTTGTTCACAAATCTCCACTTCCTGCCTCAACCTAGCTTCAACTAC